GGGACGCTTTACCTTCTCTCCTAGCACGCGCTATACGACAGCCTGCTCTGTCCGCACCAGGGGCATTACACCACTCAGGAGCGTGTTTTTGACAATCACAACCTATCCAATAGCTGACAAAGTTGTAAAATTGGGGGACAACAGCTTCCAACCACAGCCACCGCTTCAGAGGCTGAATTTGGATCCAGTGCTGGAGAGGAGAAAGCCTCCTTCCCTTAGCATGCCAATCCATTAGAATCACACACTCACAGAAACTCTCTGTGGAGAAGCTATCACCAAACTATTAATAAAATCTTCCTGAACTATTAATACGGTCTGTGGGAGCTTTAATCCACTGCGGGGGCTGATTAGGTAAGTGGACAGGCTTGAAGATGCGGTTTGTATCCTCAGTTTAAATGACCTTTCTGTTTAAACAGTTATCTTTATGATCAAAATCTTCCTGAATCTACGGGAAATTATTTTCTTTCAGAGGGGATTATATTTTGATTTGGAGTGAACTGGCAAGTAGGATCTTGATGAAAGCACGTTGGTTGGCAAGATGTGTGTGCTTTTCTGATTGCAAAGGGCAGAAGTTTACGAAAGCATTTTAAAAACATTTGTGTCACAAAATTCAGATGTCCCATAACCCAGAAATACGCTGTAACTTGGTTTTTGAGCTCAGGTCGTTGGTCTATGTAGCCAGTTTGTGTAGTTTGAAAAGATTGGCCCTGAGCACCAGGCTGGATTTATACCTAATGGTACATAGGTATTCCACAGATTGGTTTGCTTTTCTGCCACGCTTTGGTGTGAGGAGATGCTGTGCGATCATCTTGATTTTTAGCTTTCAGGCAGTTCAGAACACCACCACAGTAAAGGGTTTCTGATGCATTCTCATGCCAAAAGAAATAGATGTCGTGAAGGAAAGAACAGGCAGAAATAGTAAAAAATTGTCTCTCATTCATCTCGTAGCTATCGCTCCCGAGCTATTTAGCGGAACATTATGTACCGAGGGTTTTCAGTCCCAAGCTCATTTCAGTGCAGAAATTTCCCCGCACAGGAGGTCTGAGTGGAGAAGGGAAACAGTGATTTCTATAACATTTTCCTCTTATCTGCAAGCTTGGAGACATTTCTCCAATCTGAAACGAAAAATGTGTTGAGGCTTGTATGGATTTTGGGGGGTCTGTGGCAGCTCCAGTGTTCTTTTCTTTCTCTTCTTTGGGGATGATGTGGAGGAGAATAACTGAAAACAGCAAAGAAAAAAAATACATAAAATTAAAAAATAAAAACAAAGCAGGCAAAAGAAAAGTCTCATCTTTGGCACCAGTTTCATTCAATCAACAGGAACAACTAAAACCCTGTGTTTGGACAATTTTGTCTCTGTGTTTACCTTTTCAGTTTGGGAAAGGTACCACTGCAGCATGGTTAGATATATTCCTTGTTTTAGTTCACACCAGGTCCCAGTGAAGAAGACCTGGTCTGGCTCTGGAGTGAGCTACCTGCCCAAGCAGGTAGTCCTTTCACTCTTTCTTCCCTGCTATCGCTGAGTAGCGAGTTAGCCAGATTAGCACTGGGGGGGAGGTATTTGTTCATGCTGCAATTGCATCTCTGAGCAACATACTAATATGTCCAGCCTGGTTTTCAGATAAAATGACAGCAATACCCACAAATAATTAGACCAGTTCCTGCGTGCGATATTTTATTTATGCCACTGGAATAAAATGTAAATATTTCCTCAGGATTGGGTATTTTTAACAAGGAATCAGGTTAAGAAAAGGCTCCATGATCCCAGCGTCCTTCCTACAGTAGGCTCCAAAAAATGTACCTCATTATAAAATACACCTTCCCAAGGAATCACAAGACATGAGAAATCAAAGGAGAATTACTAAAAGCAAAAGCTCTCCAGCAGAAAATCAATTTCAGCTACTTTCACCTTGCCCCAGGGAAAGCAGCAGAGACACTAAGTGGGGTGTGGGAAAGGTCTCGTACATCTTCCTGGAACCGCGCGAGGCAGACCTCCAGACGGGAGCTTTTCTTTCCAAGACAGCGCTGCTCTAATTAGGGACTTCTGCAAAATTGGTATGTTGCGGTTCCAAACAGTGTCTGGATGATTCCCATATCAAATTTCTTTGGTTTAAAAAAAAAAAAAAATATGTCTTTGTCCTTGTTCTAATTGACAGCCTTACAAATGCAGGTGGACTGAGAGATGAAAGTCAAATTGAGTTTATTGTGCTTAATAGGGGAAGGAACAAAAATTAGCGGAAAGTTATGGACACAAAAATGTTCTTTGGTTGTTTTTTTTCCTGGCCAGCATGCTGCCTTTTCAAGGGTCTTTGTGCATTTTCAAGTGTACCTTCAGAATGGAAAGAACACAGCTGCCTTTAAATAAAACTGTTATATGAGGGGTTTTCCTGTAACACTTAATCTACTGATGTAGCAGACAGAATCTAGTTTATGGACTCAACAATCTATGTTGGATGGACATAAAATTCATGTTCTATATAGGAAAGTACATCCTTCTCCTTAGCCGACCTTTTCCAGAGGCAGCCTGCCAGTTTAAACCTCTGGTTGGTTCCTATAATTCTCAGCATTCAGACATTTCTGGGTAATGTGGTATCGTTAAGGCTGGTCAACATGTTCTAAAAAAACCACGTTCCCTCCCTTGGAAATGAAGTCTGACCAACATTTTTCACTGAAGATTGTGATGAATATCGTCTGCGCATTCCAGTGAGAAGGCAAAACAATATTTCTTTTTCAGGTCAGTATAAATCTGTGTGTCTTGAAGTTATTTCCCTCCTTCCCATCTCTCATTTCTTTACTGTCTTTTGCCTCAGACTCAGCCTGTATCTTCTACACTGACCTATGCTGCTATGGTACAACCTGGGACGGCTGTGGCAGCTCAGCCCTGAAGAGCAAAGTAGTCCAGAACTTCTCCCTTAGAGATACAGCTTGTGGGATGGCAGCCGCCTTTACAAATAAAAAAATAAAAAAAAAAAAAAAAGGCAAATGTGGAGCATTCCAATGTATCTTAATAGTTTTGGGTTTTTTTAGAATATTCTGTGAAAGTCTCAAATCTTCAGATTTTCATTCCCATGTGGGAGGAAAACAACCACATATGCGAATTTTGCATGGGATGGGCATTTTTGGCTCTGGTCTGCTCTAAACCCCAATGTTAGGCTATCACAGGTTAGAAAATTGCTTTTGGCTTCACTTCACGCTTCGGTCGGCCAATGTTTTTTCTAGGTGGGCTCAGAATCTCTGCAGCTGTTTCTCAGCGCAGCCCGGTTGAAGTCATTGAACCCGCAGCACCGCAATCGTTTATATCGGTCAGAGCTGCGTCCCCAAACTCTAACGAATATTCCAGCAGCAATGGAGATACGGTTGTCTTTACAGTGAATGAACAGCTCAACAGAGCACGTGCCACCCTTAAAAAGCTCAGCACGTAGTTTGTCGGGATTTAAAACGGGATCACCTGCTATGTTGCACTGCTCGGCCTCCCGCGTTCTGGCCTGACTTACCCACCAGTCTTGCACAGAGCGTCCAACATCGAGATTTGTAATGATTTCAGATAAACTGACGTGCCCAAGGTGTAAGCTGCTTAATACTGCTGTAGAGCAAAAGAAAAAGGTACCGCTTAATGCCTATGGCTGCTCACAAACATTACCAGAGTATGGTTTAAGATGACTGCCAGGGCAATCCAGGGCCAGTGCTAAAGAGCGTAGAGAGTCCTGCCAATCTGCCGTGGGTGGTGGGAGGTGGTGGGATGCTTACATAGCAATAAATCTGGGAAATAATTTGACCTTGAAGCAGCACAGAAGCTATACCGAGCAGGTGTATAAAGGGGATTTTTCATATCATCTCACAAATCCACCCCATATCCTCACCAGCTGTGCGCAATCTCTGACGCTCCGGAGGAAGGTGAGAGAAAGCCCCAGGATACCCCACACTAATTGTGGGGGGACCAAACCTGCCCGAGTCCCAGAGCCAAAGCCCTGAAGCAAGAGACCTGATTATTCTCTGCCTTTATACGCTGAGCTGCGGGGGTTAGGAGCACCAGCAGGATGAGGACGGCTTCATCAGGATTTCCCTTCGCAGGGGAGGGACAGGCACCTCTCCTCTCGCTGGCAGCGTACTCGAACGCTGGAGCAGCGGTTGCCCCGCTGTTTATGCAAGGGAAAAAATCCTAGGCTCTTCCCCGACTGCCTGACATTTGTTAGCTGAGAGCGTAGGTACAAAATGCCCATCACAATATACAGTAACCTTTAAAGACGCGCCAGCAACCTCCTCCTTTATTAAGCGTGCCAGGCTGGCTGAGCGGCGTCGGAGGCTGTTGCAAACACCTCCCCAGCGGGACGCTACCTGCATGCTAATGCGGGAGGTGTTTGTGCACGGCCCGGCAGCCAGCGCGGGGTTCCGGCAGTTTCCATGGAGCCGTCACGGTGCGCTCTCCCTACACCTTCACTTATCAGCATTTCCCACCCATCCTCCTCCCCGTAATATGCTGCTCGCTCACCCCAAAAGGTCAGCCATTGTAATGATGATTTTAGCAGGGGGGAGGCGGGGAGGCCGAAGGGTGAAAAGGTGAGCTGTGCACCGCCATGTGCGTGGGAACCGGGGCCCTGCCTCACGCCGCACAATGAGGAATGAGAAAGCTTCCCCTCGAGGGAGCGGTGCGCTCGTCAGCCCCCTCTCCCTTCCCATCCCAGCCGAGTCAGATGCCCCGATGGAGTTAAAAAAAAAAAAGCGTTCAGGCGAAGTGTCTGGAGAGCCTACTTTAAATCATCGGCACCCGATGCGTTCGTGTGTGGAGGGGAGAAGGGACTGCATCTGCTAACAGAAGGAGCGGATGCAAACACTTCCAGGCGTCTTTTCTTTTCCCTTCTCCCTCCTGCCTCCCTCCCAGCAAGCCCAGCCCTCATTTGCAGATGGAAAGGGGCAGACTTCTTCCTCTGACTTTCATCCTATTGACCGCTGGGCCAAAGCACTGCCTCTATTAACTGCCTGCCTTTTCTTTCTTTCTCTAGGACAGCTTTCCTGCTCGTTTTGGAGGAGTCCATTTTGTCAACCAGCCCTGGTACATCCATGCCCTGTACACGCTAATCAAACCGTTCCTCAAAGACAAGACAAGGAAAAGGGTAATTAGATGGGGCCGGGGAGTGTGGGGGGCATAGGAAGCTGTCGAGCCGGAGTAACTGAGGAGGTGCCTGCTTTTTTTTCTTCCTTCTTTTTCTCTCTGCATTTTTCACATGGCCTCAGAGAATTGCTGCTGTTATTAAAACTTCGAGTTTGCAATGGTCTGGATTGAATCAATAACTCAGCCAGGGACCAGAAAGCTGTTACCACTAACGAAGTGTAGATACAGTTTAAGGGGACACGCTCAGGGACAGAGAGAACTGGCAATGCGGAGGGATTGCAGGCCTGGCTGAAGTCACCTGCAGTGAGGGAAACTTCAGCTCAACTCTTTTTGTGGGAGGAAAATTTCCTATTTCATTCCTTCAGCAAGTGGGCTGTTTTCACACAGTGGTAACTCTTCTCCACAAAAAAATGCCCATGTCTGAAGGCTCTTTGCTCACGCTGCAGAAGAAGCCAGTCTTCCCCACTGAAGCCCACGTGAACTGTGATCCTGCAGTCGTCTTGGCCACATGCCCTCTGCAGTCTATCGAACAACCGCTGGGCTTCATTTCTCAGAAGGCCCCAGAGCCCACCCTGGGGTTTGGCTGATCAGGCAGGACAAGGGTAGTACCAGCCTGAAAGCAAGGAGGGATTAGAGAGACAAATGTCGCTGAAGCAGCGGAAAGTGGCGACACAGACCTACACCCCCCGGCAACGTCGGTCCCGGGGCGCAGGGCTGGGTTGCCCTCTCAGGTGCTGAGGACCTACTCCTCACGTCTTCTTTCAGTAAGCCCCACTATCCCCCTTTTCTTCTCACTGCTCTTCGTACAAGCCTCTATCCTCTTACAGCAGCAATAATCAGTCATAATTCCTGACTTGAGCTTTTCCCTGATCTGGTACTTAAGAAAGTGAAAGCGTCATGTGCCAAAAGTAAGAAAATTGGGATTTTTCAGAAGTGTTCATGGTGCCAGCCTAATTCTTCAGCTGCACACCCCAAAGCTAATCCCCCTCCTCCCGCCTGCCTGCACCAGCCCTGAGCGCTTCAGAAATTCCCACCCGAAACTGCAACGTCAACTAATGACGTTCCACACCTCATTAGTGCTGTTATTATTGTATTTAACGAAGTAAGGAATCGCTGATGACTTTGAACTTTCTTTTTTTATTTGTTAAAGATCTTTCTTCATGGTAACAACCTGAACAGCCTTCACCAGCTAATACACCCTGAATGCCTGCCCTCTGAATTCGGGGGGACTCTTCCTCCATACGACATGGGAACGTGGGCTCGAACGTTACTCGGTCCTGACTACAGTGACGAAAATGAGTACACCCACACCTCCTACAACGCCATGCACGTGAAGCATGCGTCCTCCAACCTGGAGCGGGAGGCCTCGCCCAAACCCATGAAAAGGTTAGTACTGCCTTTGAAATGATCTCATATTTGGCTTTCCAAACCGGTTTGGCGTAAATCTAGCAGGAAGGGCTCATCTGGCTCAGAGAGAGGCTGCAATTTGGCAAACAACTGCTTTACCAGGGTGGCGGGAGAAGGGAAGCCTCTCTGCGGAGCTGTAATTACTCAACTGATTACTGTGAAGGAAAACAAGGGGAAATTAATGAGCCCCTGCACACAGAATTACAGAAAGTATATCAGAGTGAGATGCTCTTCTGTATGGCCACACCCCTTCGGTGCTGGTTCCTATTACTTGCTGCTGCTGCGGTGCTCTTGACCCCAGATATTAACGATAAGAGTTTTACCTCCTTCGAAACGCAGCTTTTGTACAATGAACACCACTGCCCTCTAAAGGGAAAATGGGTTAGTCTCCTCCCGCCGCTTCTGCTCCCCCTTTCTCCTTCCAGCCCTGCGAAGGCAGCAGTGCTGCTCTTGTAAGACCTCAGATTTTTAGATCTTGTGGCTGTGCATTCATTCAGCTCTGAAGGCTTGAAAGTACACCTCTCAAGAGTATCGCCCTCAGTAATTTGCACTGGTTGCAGGAACGGGGTGGGGAGGGTTGGGTCCCTGGCACAGGTTTGTGGGTGGCACAGCAGAGCCACCACCAGCTGCTGGGAGCGATGAACGCGTTGGCTCCCCTGTAGAACTCTCACAATCTGCCCTTGCCTCCCTCCAAACTCCTTTCAATGTAGATTGCAAAGATGAGCTAACTCGCTGCTGCCACTCGATGAGCGCGGTGCTCACAGACAGGGCCGTCACTCTGCCTGACAGGGAGCGGCCATCATTTTGTCACAACAAAATCAAAGCTGACAACAGAGACAAGCCATAATGTCATGCAATTAATTTCAAAAGCCTTTCATCTTCAGAGGAAAAAGAAACGCACTAGCGATGCACAGCTCCCTCCCAGGTCAGAGGGATGCCACGCTGCTGCAGCTGCAACATGCACCCTTGCACTGGAAGCACGCACGCATACAACTGATGTGGAGTGCTGTGAGTCCCACCACGCACCCGGCCACAGGACCGCGGGGCTATGACCCGTTGCAGGGTTGCAGCCACGGCACGTAGAGAGGTGGCCACCTGCGTAGTCAGCGGTTCTCACAACTGACTGCCAGCCAAGACTGGGAGCCAGGATGAGTTTACAGAGCCTGTCCCAGAGAGCTGATTCTAAAACAACTTTTTAATATATATTTTTCTAAATTAGCAGTGGAACACGCTGAATGATTTTAGAAAGATGCTAACTAAATATTCCATTGTTATTAAAACATATATCAAGAGTGTACCATTTATGTAGCTTTATAGAAAGAAATCTGCAGGTTTTAAAACTCCGAAGTGTTAAGAGCTGTTCACAGGTAAACCTTTGCTGAGGATCAGATCCTCGGCTGAAAAGAAGGCAAGGTCTTATCATGCCCTCAGGGGAGAACCTCAGCTTGAAAATGAGTTCGGTGCCAGAAAACCCTGCCTCAAGGCAAAGCCTTCTTCTATAATCTGTTCACTAATACAAAAGTGCATTAATACAAATATGGCGAGTGGATGAATCTAATTTGTCATGTTGCCCCTGGGCAGACTAGATCTAACTTTTAGCCTAATTTCGTTACTCGACGGTTAAGTGAACCATCTGATCTTGTACCCCGTGGTCATTACTAGCTGTTAGAGGTGAGAAGTTCACTGCTTCAACAGATTTGCTCCTGTGAGTATTTGCTTTGATTCTTCTTACCCTGAAATTACGGTTCAGCCTAACTTGAGGTAAAAGCCTATGCTTAGGAAGCATAATTGCGTGCTTTATTTGATTTATTAGACTAGATTTATATCTAAGGCCTATTAAAAGGTCTACAGACTTCTACCAGCATTACCTGTGTTTATATATCCCCTCTCCTTGCCTCTTTAGGTTCATACATCTCTAACACAAGGAGAGTCTCAGGCCATGGCTGAGATTCCTGGATGCTCTAGGCATAGGTGATCTCCTAGCATTAGTCTTCATCTTAAGTACAATTCCCTCACAGTTGCCCTATCATTTTTTCCCTTATTAAAGCAATTTTGCAGTTTCATTAAAAATCTCTCCTCTCCTCCTCCACTCACAGCGTAAAAATCTTTAAACTCTTGAGTAAATGTGGTAATTTTGTGCTTCTATGCTGAAATGTTGGGTTTAACAACAACAAAAAAAAAAGGTGGCTGACCTTTTTTTTAGCGCTTACATTCCTGTGAGAGGGGTAAATATATGAAGACTGAGCCTTCTTGGGTTTCTGTAATGTCAGGATGAAAAGCCTCGCTGAACGACTGCGGGTCTTCTCCTCTCTGACTGCCCAGATATCATTGCAGGTTTACCTGCCCAGTAGTTAGCTGCAGGGGAGGGCAGTGCTTATGAGAGGTGGCTTTACCCTGGAGGGTGGGGGGACAGTGGTTGTCCCCCCCCGGAGCACCAGGAGCACCATCCTGTGTGACAAGGTGCAGGGTTGCAGATTGCCCCTCCTGGCTCTGCGGCCACTTGCTGTAAAGCCATACAAGCACATCCTCACTAGGGCTGCCACTGGACCAGTACTGTGTTAAAGCTTTCTTAATCTTGGAGCTCAGTGCTGCTTGGAATAGCTTGGAGCCTTGCACTGCGACCACAGGGAAACATCCCTGGGAAATGTAGTACCGCCATCCTACACCTTGAGAGAAGCTCACCCTGGGAACAACCTACTCCAAATGTAGTGTCTAGCAATTTCAGTAGCAGGGATGCTGAGAAAACAAGACAGGAATTATAGATGTGGAAGAAAAAAAATGCCAGGAAATGGGATCAGAGAATAACTGACCAAAATACTTCTGTAGCCACTGTTAGAAAACAAATGCAGAGGGGGAGAAAGAGGGCGTTTTCAAGGTGTGCCTGAGACCAAACTGAAGTCATCACCTGGAAATTAAACTAAGTCTCAAAATGCAGACAAGCAGAAAATGAGGCACCAAGCAGCAGTAGGAGGGAGTGAAGCTGGAGCAGGTACGTGGCCCATGCATTTGCTTCAGGACTGACAGCAGTGCTTTGGCTCCTGGCACCAGGGCAGATGATGCATATAAATTGAAAAAAAGTTCACCTGAGAGTTGTGAGGAGGGTGAGGAGAGAAGAGAGCATGTTTTTCCAGCAAGAAGCTATGGAAAACTGTGGTTTATCCAGCCTTACAGAGCAAAGGTTGAAATGCATATGATCGTTCTCTACAAATACAGGAGGGAATAAAAACTGGGGAGGGAGAACAGGTATTTGAGAAAAAGGACAATTTAGGCATGAGCTCAAATGGGTATAAGCTGACCAAAGCGTACCTTGGCTGCAAATTAGAGGAGCAGGTTTGCCAGTCATCAGAGGAGCGAGATACTGAAGCAGCTTGTCAGTATGGCAACCTGACTGATACACGAGTGAAAGGTCTGACATGAGGTGGCTACCAGTGGTCACAGGAGACTAGACCTGGCCCTCAAAGTCTCATTAGGTTCCATTTTCTGCTCCCCTTAGCAGCAATGGGATCAGAGCATGATCTTCTCCCCAACCACAGGCAGGGGTGTTTTTTTCCTGTGACTTGAAATTGCACAAGATTCGTTCCCAAAAAAAGAGTCCTTATTTACTTCAAAGAACGGAGGCGTTGTAGATGGGGAAAGGATTGAAAATCCTCTTAGAAAAAAACTGTCACTAACTCTCGTTAGCAACATGATCTTGAAAATCTTGAGATGTGACAAGTTTCCATAGTATGGAAAATCTTTAATCAAAACCATTGCAATTGTCATTTTTTCCACCAGTGGCCACACGAAACCCCACTGGGGCAAAATCAAAACAGTGGAAATTGCACTCCCATCTGCAGTATTATCTCACACCCTGGGAAAAATCCCAGATCCCAAGTACTGTATGAACAGATGGGAAACAAAGCAAAACAGCTGATGACTCCACATAATGAGTCTTAATGGCCAGGGGGAAAGAAAAAAAAAGCACCAATAACAAAAATCCATTCAGAATATATCTGTTTATTCAGATTCAGCTCAGTGAAGTTTGAAATGGGCGAGGTAATAAACATGCCAACCGGTATTAAGACAGTAATAGTGAAGTCAGTTCAGTCTGAAAGCTTGGCCGCATCCGTCTGAGCATCCTGGGAGCAGCGATGGCAACAGAGGCTTTCCCTGTCTTCGGCCGTCTCTTCCGAACGGTCTGCATCCACGCAAGGGAGCCTGTCACTTACCAGCTGTGGGATCTGAAAGCAATGTAAATGGTGTGAAAATTCGGAACACAGGGAAGAAAATCACCTCCCTTTCAGCTGTGACCAAATCTTCTGTGGGCCCTGACGGTCAGAAAGGGGCCTTGGGTTGCTTTTGTCAACAGGGAGCTAACGCAAAAGCAAAGCATTTGCCTGGGGCACTCATGCCGGCTTTTGTTGATGAGCTGTTGTTTTTGGGAACAGCTGGAGGTTTCATCTGGGTGTGCAGTGTAATGAATAGTTATGGTGGGTGGTTAAGCCTAGCAGCTAAAGAGTCAGAGACCGCTCTCAACGTATCCCTGTGCCAATAGGGCACAGTCTTTTGGCCAGCCGCGGCGGGAGAAGTGTGCCTGTATCTGTTTGGGTACCTAACTGCAGGAGCGAGCATCCCCACTTGGAGAGACGGATTCAGTGACTGGGGAACATGTCAAGGAGCTCAGTTCTCTGAAGGGTTTCCCTTTTCCCCAGTGTCCCCCTGCTCTTACGCTTGGGCCCAGCAGCAGCAGCAAGTAACCAGCAGTAGCACGTTGCTTCCCGGTGACTCGCTTTCCTTTACAAGAGCTGCCTTTCTGCAGCTGCATCTGGGTCACTTCTTGATGTCTGAACTTGATCTTCAGTCCAAGCGACAAAGCCTGTTCTCTGCCTTTGCTTGTTCCCCACGCGGTCACCAAGCACAGCCTGGGAGATGACTGTTCCTTCTCTCTCCCAGGCATCAAAAGAGCGCTCGCTTTTAACCTGCTGCCAGCGCAAACAGGT